CCGTCTCCTTTTCGTTTTCACCTTGCGCGAATTTTCACACCAGCCAGTTGTCCCCACCCCCGCCCCCCCCTTAAATTCACACAACTGTGATTCTATTTTTGCACGAAGGGCGGGTAACCAGCATACAAGGACCATCGAAGGAAGAAATGAATTGGAAATGCCAGCAACAGAAGTGTGTGAAATGAAAACACTCAATGACAACATGCCAAACCAAAAGGAGCACTCGGATACAATGTCAAGGACCTTTTAAAATCTTCTCATCTTCCTGTAGCCTGCAAACCTCTTAACAGGTTGGGAAATTCTCTAGGATTTTTTTTTTTTGCTACTTTCCCCCTCACGTATTTAGTTTTGTCTAATTGTTTTCAGTTTCATCAGAAGCTACACAAGTTCCCCAATTGGCAGAAGAGTGGAGTAAGCTTCTCTCTGCTGAGCTAGCTTTCTGCTTGCGGGGAGTAGTTGTTTTGTTAACAAACAGAGCTGGATTTTGTCTTGCAGAATAATATGAAGGCATCTCACTCAGAAATGTTGCTGAAATTATGCAAATATGGGTCAGTTCTTGGGGGAGAGATAGCCCGCCAAGCCCCATTGACACCACCTGCAATTCCCTGAAAAAAGGGAATTTTAAAAAATCTCCCCCACATCCTTGCCCCATTTTCCTTGCCCCATTTCTCCCTGGCTGCCATTTTTCTCCTACAACGCTGGAAAGTTTTTCCGGCTTAAAAAATAAATCAGTAATTGCTAGATTGTTATAGCACTATAATGGTATAACAATCTTACTGGTTCCTCTAAATTTCCAGATTTTGTGGTTTTGTTTTTTAAAAAAGTGTCTAGCTCTTTTTGTTGAGGAGCATTAGAAATTTATGTTCTTAAATTAAAGGCGGGGATTCAGAGCAATGCTTCCTCTAAGCTGTGGAGTCTTGTGAGCAAAAAATTCTACTTTGTGAGCTACTGGCATTAAAGTTGTGAGCAAGCAATTTGGCTACTGCATAAGTTAGTTTGCTCTGGAGCCATCCTTCCTGAGCTAAGACAAAAATGTGTGAGCCGGAGGCTAAAAAACTGTGAGCTAGCTCACACTAACTCAGCTTAGAGGGAACACTGATTCAGAGGAACTAGTAGACTGTGGCAATAGACTGTTGTAATGCTATAGCACAACAGCAGTTACTAAGTTTTTTAAAAGCCTGGGGGAAAGTGCCCTCCAGTGGCAGGGAGAGGAATGGCGGCTAACGGAAGACAGCATGGACAAATATCCCCTGCAGATGCTCCAGTGCTGGTATGTGTTCCTCTGCATATGCGGTGACGATAATAAGAAAATGGAAAATCTTTCCTGGGTGGAATCAAAACATCAACTGGCCATTAAAATACTATACGGAGAGTTCCGCTAGGTGGAGGATTCTCCGTGGTGACTTGATCCGGGCACGGCAGAGGGACCCAGAGAATGGCCACTTTGGAGTCAGGAGGCAATTTCCCCCCAGGCCAGTTTGCCCGGGGATCTTGGGGGGGGGCAGTTTATTTGTCCTCTTCTGGGCACGGAGCAGGGCTCACTGGGGGCATGTGTAGGGGAGAGGTATTTGTGAATTTCCTGCATTGGGCAGGGCGTTGGACTAGATGACCCCGGAGGTCCCTTCATAAGAACATAAGAACATAAGAGACGCCAATGTTGGATCAGGCCAATGGCCCATCCAGTCCAACACTCTGTGTCTCACAGTGGCCAGAAATACCAGTGCCATCAGGAGGTCCAGCAGTGGGGCCAGGACATTAGAAGCCCTCCCACTGTTGACCCCCCCCCCAAGCACCAAGAAGACAGAACTCTGTGATTCTGTGTTTCTGTGTCAGTGCGGTAAACAGTGTCAGACTAGGCCTGGGGAGAGCCGGGTTCAAATCTCTGCTTAGCCATGTGGCGCACTGGGTGACTAAGGGACATAAAAAGGGAAGGGAGGTCCTTGAACGAGGGAGGGGGTAGAAACACAATGGCTTGATAGAAGCTGGGGGAGGGGGTTCAGATGGAGCGAGATCCCATCTCAGGGTTGCCAACTCTGGGTTAGGAAGTCCATGGAGATTTCAGAGTGGGGCCTGGAGAGGGCAGGGCTTGAGGAGGGGAGGGGCCTCTGTGGGATATAATGTTATAGAGTCCGCCCTGCAAAGCAGCCATTTCCTCCGGGGAAACTGATCTTGATCGTCTGGAGATCAGCTGAGATTCCAGGAGACCTGCAGGCCCCCCCCTGGAGTCTGGTGGCCCTAGGGACAGCGCATGTCTTATGCAAGCCACCTGACCATTAAAAAAAACGGGATTCCATTTTGCAAAGGAATACCTAAATGTGCTCAACGCGGACTCTCCTGTCTCCTTTCCTTCCTCTGCCTGGCACGCCTTAGCCTTTCCCCAGAAAAATCTGTTCGGGGGCACATCTGGACGGCCAGATGTTTCTCCCCTCTTCTCTTCCTCCCTTCGATATCAGGACTATCCGGGTGCGTGCGGGAACGATCGCTCGTCACCGGACGAGGTGACCTTCGCGCTCTTCCCGGACGTGGGGTTCTCCCTGCATGCGTCGCCCCACCCAAGACTTTGAGAGAGGACCCGAGAAAGATAACAGCAGGTGGGAGACTTCTGGTTTTATATCTTAAAAAAAAAACCCTGATTGTCAATTCACATGCCTTTTTGGATTCGTCGGGAGCCGGAGATGGTCACCCCTAGCCAACTGGCACCAGTCGCCAGTGGACATTTAAGGAGAACCCTGTAATAAGAACATGGTCCAATACCAGAGATTTATGGTTGATCAAGGACACTCCTAGAATTCCTTCTTAGAGCCACTGACCGTGCTGTCCAGAAAGGGCGTCGCTTCCATACAGATTGCATAGATGGCTGCCTTCGACTGAGTTCGACCATTGGTCCAGACAGGCTAGTATACTCTAAATGGACTGGCTCTCAGGTAGGGTCTTTCCCCAACGCCTGTTATCCTGCAGAGACACTGGGGCGTAATCATGCAATGATTCCATTACGGCCCTTTCTCCAGTGGAGGTACAAAACTGCCCGAGATCAACATGAAACCACTGGTCCACCTGGCTCAATACCGACTGCTTTGTAGCCTTTCAAAGGATCCAGACAGGGAAAGATCACCCCCAATACTTGGTACCCACAATCCTTGCACAAGAGATACCAGGGATGGAGACTGGGACTTTTGACAGGCGACACAGGGACTCCACCGCCAAGCCACAGAGTCCATACTGATCCCCGGCAAGTTAATATGTTCCCTGTCCCATCTTTCCTCCAAACGCAGCATTTGAACCCAGAGCTCCCTTGGTTGAAGGCTAACAGCTCCATTCCCCCTCCCTCCGTACTGCCAACTCGCAAGCGGAAATGCCACACTCCGACTCCATCCATCTTCCCGAGGAGCTATGGAATGACGGAACAAACAGGGCTTCCCTTGGGGAGGCCGCGGTAATTGGGAAATGGGTCACCCCTCGGAACCTTGGTTATTGGAATTCCCCACCGTGGCCTCGAGTAACTCGACGCCAAGCGCACGACTCCAGCGAGCCGAACGCCTGAATATTTGGTGGCAAAGGAAGTGATCAACCCTGATCAGAGGGCGATCCACCCGTCATCCGGCAAGTTTGAGGGTTTGCTCCAATCTGAAGGCATCCCCCCCCCCCACGAACACAAACCAGCACTAAAGAGAAACTTGGCTGTCCTGAACTCGGCATCCAGAAGAGGCACGCGCAGAACATTCAAAAGCAGTTCCAGGTCCCTACAGAGCCAAGGAAATTCTGGACCCCGAATGAATAACCTCAAATGAGCCCAAGAGAAGGAGAGAGCTGTTCCAAGATGGTTCCGCCTTCGCAGAGCCAACATTCTTGGCTGACGGTATAAGGTTATCAGTTATAGAATAGCCTCCCTTCCCAGATGTCCGAATACACAGCTATAGAGGGGGCGCATACTTAGTGCTAAGTATGGCAGGTGTGACCTGTTTTTCCCCCAAGGAAAGTTCGTCTTTCCTTCAAGGTGTACGAGATTGAAAAATAATTAATAAAGCAGGCCGGAAGCCAGGTCTGGCATAAATAGATAGCCCTGCTGGATTGGACCAAAGGTCCATTGAGTCCAACATTCTGTTTCCAAGCAGGCAGGCAGCAAGTTCACAAACAAAACACAGGGCACGAATGGCTTTCCCCAGAATCTGTTATTCAGAAGTAGACTGCCCCTGGATATGGAGGTTCCATTGAGCCGTCTAGGTTAACAGCCAATGGCAGGCCTACCCTTCTGCGGGCATTTTTTGGACCCCCTTTTAAAAACAAAAAAAGGCATTCAAGCAAGCGGTCGTCACCAATGCTGCCTCTAAGCTATGGAGTCTTGGGAGCAAAAATCCTACTTTGTGAGCTACTGGCATTAAAATTGTGAGCAAGTGATTTGGCTGCTGCATAAATTAGTTTGCTCTGGAGCCATCCTTCCTGAGCTAAGACAAAAATATGTGAGCTGGAGGCTAAAAAACTGTGAGCTAACTCACACTAACTCAGCTTAGAGGGAGCACTAGTCATCACTACATCTGGTGGTGGGGAGTCCCATAAGCTAACTGCACGTTGAAGGGGACGAGTCGGTGGATGAAAGAGGCCAGAAGGTGAGTCAGCACAATGGCTCAACTTCGGATCCAGAACGCCTTCTTCAAATGCCCCAAAGTCGTTTGGTGGCTTTAAGGGAAGCCGTTCTCTCTCACTGCAATATGGGGGCAAGACGAGGCCTACCCGAAAAGGCCGTTCTAAGGATTCCAGGATTAGACAGGTAAGGGGTGTCAAATGCTCCAATGCTACAGATTCCCGTCTCTGATGGACAGACGGGATCCTGGCAAAGACGTCGCCAAGTATCTCAAGTCCCCGTGCAACCCTCCCGCTGGATTCACAAAATCTACAGGGGGTGCCAAGAATTCATGCTTACTCTCCGCGGTTACAGGCATACTCCCCCCCCCCAATGCAACAGGACAGGGTGGTGCGCGGCCCAGCCGCCGGGAGAGACTTACCTTCCACAGTTGCAGTGGCAAACTCTGTCTTCGCCTCTCAAATGCGGTAAGATATAATTGTGAAAGCGATCCAGGAGTGCATTCATATCCATCAAGCACGCAATTGCCTGAAAGAGGCCAGAAGGCAGCTGGTCAGGTCTAGAGATGGTGGGATTAAAAATTTCACTCGCATTTCATGGCTAAAAAAAGGAGGGGGGGTGATAAAACAATTTTAATTGTTTTTTTTTCCCTAAAAAAAGAAAAGATGACACACAAGCACACGCCTAGACACACACCGAAACAGGAGACGGAACAGGCATGCATACCAAAGCACCGTTGGACTAAAGGCAGAAGAATGAAGAATTGGGGGGGGGGGGTTTGGGGGGGGGATGACAAGAAAGGCAATCCTGTGCAAAGAAACGCTTCCTTACCATAACAATTGAAGCCCCCAGGATCATAAATATCATGGTGTTTGCATTCATGGACATCCGCTGGAAATGGACAGCCGCCGCCGCGTCACTCCCCCCCAGCCCACCCCCCGGCCCCTTGCCCAAAATGAAAAAAGAGAGGAAAGGGTGCCACGACTTTCTGCAGAGGTCAGAGATGGTCACATACAGGGCTTTCAAGTCAAGCTGCAGTCCAGAGGAGGGGAAGGGTGTAGGCCCCCCCACCTTTCAAGCCTACACAAGCCCACAACGGCTCCCAGGATTTCTCCCCCCCCAAGCTGGTTCCTTTGGGGGGGGGGGTGTTGGCAGTTCTGCTTATATCTCTCTCTGTCTCTCTCTGTGTCTCTCCTTCCTTCCGTCCTTTTCCTTTTCCCCGGGTTATTCAGACCCCCCCAAATGATGGACCTCCTCCCGGTTTCCCTGCAGGCAAAAATCCACCGCTCCGCCGAACCCCCTGAAACGGCGAGGTCGACCACATCACCAGGGCTGCACCAAACCGACGGACTACACCACCGGAGAGGAACTGATCCGGTCCAGATTGGGGGTGGGGGAAGGGAGGGAGGGGGTTGAAGCAGATAGGAGACAAAAGCAAGAAATGGGAGAAGATTCAGTTGCAAAGGACCCCCTCCGTGGCTGCTGCCTCCGCCGCTTCTCTTGGCCAGCCCAATCCCAAAGCCATCCTTTTTGGAAAGGGGTAAGCGATAGACGCCAAGGGTGGTGGCGGTGGCGGCGGTGGGGTTAAATAGGGGGGTCCCCCCCCTCCTCCTCCTGCCGTCCTCGCCTCTCTGCTTTTCCTAGCAAGGCTCACAAAACGGGGAGAAAAGGCTGCATGCAAAAGGCGGGCGTCGTGGTGGAGTCCTTTAAACCCAGAGCTTCGCCTCGCCGGGCTCATTTGCTAGGAAGGGG